CTCACCTGTCAGCTCGACTGTGATGACAGGGCAGGTCAGGAAAGGGGAGGGAGGCAGTGAAGGAAAAGGAGCCAGATACTGATAAAAAAAAAAGTGCTATAGTGCAGTCTCTATTGCCTCAGTAATCTCTGTTGGGCAATAATCCAAAATAAAGGATTAACAAAGAGATTCATTCATCCGCTCAAAATGATTCACTTCCAGATGAGACATGGGAGACATTTTTTAGCATTAATTCCACATGGACAGTACAGCATGCAATCCAACATGTAGAAATTCGGCTTTCACAGATAAACTTAACACTTAACGGTGTCCAATAAACAAAATGGAGGCACTCATAACTGTTCAGGAATCAGAAGTTTATTCAAGCATTAAACTGTTGCAGAAAGAGCTGACAGTGTGTTGTGATTAATAAATTATCTGTGTGATTTACACCGTCTATGCGTGAACATGTCTAGCAGAGTCTTATTGTGCTGATGTTTGATTACTTCTCATCGTGAGTTACTGATTTACCTCAAGCGCTCAGGGTGTGTTATATGACAAAGCACACGTGCAAAGTGTCGTGTATTCTCTGAAATACATAAATCAATGAAACACACTTGAAGCGCTTATGATTTTAAAGGGATAGTTCACTCAACAATGAAAATTATGTCATAATTTATTCCCTCTCATGTCATTCCGAATCTGTTTGGCTTTCTTTCTTCTGCAGAACACAAGAAGATATTTTGAAGAATGTCACGTTTCCCCCCTCTCTTTCCTTCTATGGACAAAAGCAGTTGAAACATTCTTCAAATTATCCAAGAAAGTCATACATGTTTGGAACAACATAAGGGTGAGTAAATGATGACAGAATTTACATTTTTGGGTGAACTATCCCTTTAAGCACCATAGTTCTTTCAGTGGAGGCCAAGGTTGTACTTTAGGGATATTCTCTGAATGAGATCACACACGCTGTGTGCTGCCAGAGAAGGAAAGAGAAAAAGGACTGATTACATGATCCAACATGTGTGTGCTAGGAGTTGGGTGTGCTGTGACGATGACTTTGGCGGGCCTGAGGAAACTCTACATTCCTGCAAAATCATTGTGTACACAGAGAGTTCGGCTTATGAGTTGAGATTATAGGGAAGAAACATATGGCTGTTCTAAATGGAAGGGCACTATGGCGCCGCAGGCTCTGTTGCACAACGGGAAGCAGTGTGGTTAAAGTTGTGAGAACAAGCAATGAATGTTCTTTATGCTATAATGTCTAAAAACTTAGGATGTCCTGTGAAAATGGTTGCATAAATGAGTTGCTGCGATCATCGTAAATGTATAGACCAGACTTGAGGTTTTCTTCTAGGGTTGTAAGGTTCATCTTTCTTCTAGGGTCTCACCAAAAGTGATTTCCCTACAGTACACTGTAAAAAATGAATCATGGGTCTTGTAATTTTCATTTAAAAAATAAGGTGATAATTAAAAATAGTGTGTATATTTTATTAAAGAAATTTTGGTTCAATGTTGTACAGAAAATATTGAGAACATTTCACTAATAAAACCAAGAGATGTGTTTTCCTAGTTTTTTTAAGGAAACTTATAAGCAATTTTGAGGCTTGAATTGAGAAACTGATCAAGCTGATTTCTTTTAAGAGAATATGACATTAAGTGCTATTTCATGTGTTTTTGAGTGAAGGGAAACATACAGTTATGTTTGACATTTGAAAGAGTTTGTTATTTCTATTGTGGTATCTTATGGTTAGTTTGTGGATAACTGCATGTACTAACACTATAACGCATGATGCTTTGCTCGATGAGCAGAAGCTTTGCTAACGCCAGTGCAGTTACAAGTTTTTTCCTACTTGAGCTGTCTAGCTGTATACAGTCTTTTAATTGTACAAGATAACTCAAAATCAAATACAAACAGGCCTTATTTAAAATAAATGAACACATTTCACTAATAATATTAAATTCATCATATCATCTACTAAATAATTTAGCAGATTTTACAATTGATCAGGTAAATGTCATTAAAGAAGTCAAGCCTTAAAACCTTGTTACCATATTTTTTAGTAGATAGCACATAGTGTTTGCTAGCGGGAGTAACCATAACAACAGCACGATGCTTGCGCCAGTTGCAGTCGCCAGTTGTCAATAAACCATGACAACACATAATTTTACTATAGATTTACAAATGGAAAAAAATAACTTTTCTTAGATCACTGACATTTGGCTCACTGTGCTATAGTGGCACGAGACTAAAAATTGCGCCAAAAAAAAAAAAAAACGACACTCTTAAGAAAATAATTAATCTGTTAAATAATTGTGCAAGACCCTAAAGGTTAGTCAGAAAGTACTGGACATGTTTATCTATAAAAATACAAAAAAAATACACAAAATAATGCCATATAAACCAAGTCGAAAGGGTATCTGATGGAAAATGCAGAGCACACGAGCCAAACTATAGCAGATTCTCATCTTAATTGAAATGATGGAATGTCATTATCAGTTCATCTGTTAATTAGGCCTGTGTTACCAGGCCTAACTATATTTAATTGCTTATAAAATTATTATTTGCTTTTCCCCCTAGTAATTTGCATACATATTGAGCTCAAAATAACTTTTCAAGTTTGCTTTCACTTTTACATAGCTTAATGATAAGATCTAAGTTTACTACTATTTTATACGCGCAAATGTCACGTCAGTTGTTGGCACGAAACTTTCAGTGGTCCTGTACTTACCAGAGTATGTTTTCTTCATGTTCATGGGGTCCTTTTTATCCTGAGAATGTCGACTTTAATCTATTAGGTCCGTATCTGAGATTGCAACATCTGAAAAATGATCGATCGTTGCGTAGAATTTCTCTCTGGCTGTCCGCAAAGCACATGTACCACGATCAAAATGTATGTATTTTATATCGTCCTTATACTAAACCAACTAAATCGGTTAGAACTAAACTCCCATACACCTCCAGCTTTACCTGTCCACACACACACACACACACACACACACACCTGTGGATAACTCCGCCTTATGGATAGAGATAAGACTACACACCTGAAGGTTTGACGCTGCAACTGCAGGAGCAGGCTATAGTTGACAAATAACATGGACATGATTGGTCTTTTTAGGTTAAATTGGTATCACTGTAAAAGGAAATTTAATATTTTATTTTTGTTGTAACTGATAAATGTCTTAAAAGTTCCACAATTTGTTTTTCCTTTTTATAGTGTTAAAAAAGAAGTAAAAACAACATTATAAAAACAATAAACTTATGACAAACAATTTATGAAACAGCAAAAATCTACAAGATAATATACAAATATCAAAATACATATTTTCAGGCCAGCAAATATTAATAAATTGTATATATTTTTAAGAATTAATAATATTGATATTTTAGTTTGAAGAGCTTTTAACCAGCACCCAAAACATTTCCTATCATAAACACATTTCTTTTATTAAGAGTTTTCTATCACTCTTGTTGATTGAACTGAGGTATAACCCATGAGAGGCTCACGAGATGACTAGAAAACGTTCCGTACACTGATGTTCTCACTAATGTTCACCTGGTGAGAATTGTGTATTAAGCAGTCAAGCTGTAATGCGCTGTGGGTTTTTCTAAATGTTAGGGCTTTCAACATGAGCACCTGCTGTGAAATGGAGAATTTGTGTTTAAGGTTTTGAAAAGTGGTTTAGAATTTGTGAGAAATGTCGTTATGGTTTAAGAGGGTTTTTTTAAACAACTGAGAAAAGCTGCAATACACATCACACCAGAACTTGTTTCCTAAAACCAAAACCTTGCACGTTTCCAGTCAATGTAAGCACACATTACAGCAAATGTTTGACTTTCTTTTTCCAGAAAATACTTTTTGAAACAGACTTGATGGCAACTGTGTGACATTTCCCAGGTACAAAATAAACTATACTAAATGTAGTTAGGCAGGACTGACTGACATTTTTAGACCCACACATTTTCTCACACATCCTCTTGTTTCTGGCAAATGAATCACAACATTTTTCCCCAAATGCAATGTTTATCACTTTGAGGTTTCAAACGCCACTCAGATCTGAATAAAGCCATTTGACAAAGGTGTACATGTTGGTGGACTAAAGTGAGAATAGAGGTGAAATTCTCAGAAGGAGAGGCAGGTTTCCTCTAGAGGGGTCTTGACATGAACATGTTCCACCACAGGAGGAAGTCTGCAGCTTTGTCTCAGAGAAGCACATTTTGCAGGCCCCCAATATAGACTAAGACCACAAGACAAATAAAAGCACAGACTGAAACTAAGACGACATTTTCAAATCCTGTTTTTTGTTATTTGTCCCGAGTGACATACATTTGCCATTGTTCTTGTAAAGCAACACTTAAATGTGTATTACTGAATCTATACATTGAAGTTATCAAAATATTTACATCAGGTGTTTAAGGGCAACATCCACACTGAATTAAATTACACAATATGTAGAACCCACATACACAGATTCATTCATTGAAAATTGAATAAACAAATGCATAAATAATAAAAGAGAATCAAAGCATATAGTATCTACAGCCAAAACCGAATCACTCATTTAATGCATTCATGCAAAGCTGAAATAAACATACAAAATAAATCAGAATAAAATATTTACAGAAAATTCAATGTAAATAAATAGACATTTAGAAGAGATTGACTCATTTCTCTTAATGTTACACTCTAAAAAATGCTGGGTTAAATACAACCCAGTGCTGGGTGAAATATGGACAAACCCAGCAAATTGGGTTGTTTTGACCCAGCAGTTGGGTTACTACCCAGAAGGTTGGGTTAAACATTTAACCCAACTGCTGGGTCCAAACAACCCAATTGCTGGGTTTGTCCATATTTCACCCAGCACTGGGTTGTATTTAACCAAGCATTTTTTAGAGTGTACCACATTTCAATAGGTCAGAAACCCAACCTCAGTCAGATTGAACTAAAGTAGATGCGTGGGACTAAATGAGCTGAATGAGTCACAGAATTATGCACAACAGTAAGTTACTTAAAAACCCAGTACTAGGGATATTTGTGATATAAGGGACATATGTGAATGCCTTATATACACTCTGTCCTTCGTTGAACAGTCATGACCTCGTACACTCCATTGTTACACCTTTTCTCATCTTCTTCTACTTTTTCTTCTTCTCTTCTTTTGATCAGTTTCTTTATCTGGAACAAAAGAAAGGAACAAATCAACTTGATTATTAACCTCTAGACACATTTGCTGGAAAAATGCCTATTGATATATAACACAAAAGTATTGGTCATAGACACTAAGTGTGTAAACATATGGCTGGAGATCAACAAAAATACCGCAACAGACAAAGCTGAAATCAGCACTTTCCAGTGTGCATATGTGTAATGCATTTACAAAGTTTCTGATGACCTTCGGATGTACAGATATGCAACCAGTTTTAGGTGCATCACATTCACCTTGGGCACGAACCACACTCCAAACACAAGGAGTAACAGTAAGAGCACACTGCCAACTGTCAGAGCCATCACTGGTATCAGTAGGTCATTCATGCCACCCGACTTTGTATTAGCACTTACAGAAGGGGCTGGTTCGATCGGTGGCTCTGTAAAGAGAAGTCCAAATAACTAAAGTACAGCCAAAGCAGTATCAGCAGCTTCAAACTATAGCAATAGAACTATGCATGTGTTTATTTATTTATATCACTTGCTGTACCTTCAGGACAGGAAAAATAAATAAACAATACCATTTAAAAGTTTTGGAGTTGGAAATATTTTATTAATTATTAATAAATTAGTCTCTAATGCTCACCAAGGATGATTTTATTTGACCCAAAATACAGTAAAACGTGAAATATTACAAAAAACAGTTTTAATTGTAATGTTTTTTTTTTCTGTCAATACTGTTTTCTATTTGAATATATTTGAAAATGTATTTATTCCTATCATGGCAAAGCTGAATTTTCAACAGTCATATTACTCCAGTCCTGATCCTTCAGAAATCATCAAATATGCTGATTTGCAGCTCAACTAACATTTCTTATCATTATCAGTCTTGAAAACGGTTGAGCCATGATACTTTTTTCAGGATTCTTTCATGAATAGAAAATTCAAAAGCACAATTTATTTAAAATATATTTTTTGTAACAATGTCAACATCTTTATTGTCACTTTTGATTAAATGGATCCTTGCTGAATAAAAGCATTAATTTCTTTTCAACGAAACTAAATAAATAAATAAGCAAATAAACAAACTAACTAACTAACTAATAATAAATAAATACATACATAATAAATAAAAAAAATAATTAGCTAGTTAACCCAAAACTTTTTAATGATAATGTATGTCTTAAATCATACTTATCACTACAGGCATAATGAATTCTAAATTGTCTGTAATTAAATACAGAAAATTACATGTCAAAAAACAAAACAGAAATGTACACTCACCATGCACCAGAAGAAAAACACCTGACTCTGCCTTTGAACTTTTTGCAGAGTTTGACGTAGTATTGCAGGTGCACCAGTAGGCCCCAGTGTCTGTCAGTTGTAGGTTAATGATGTGTATAGTCAGAGTCTTGTCGTCATTTTCGACTTTAACACGTTCTTTGTAGTCTTTATGGGGAGTAATTGTTTTGTTAGCAAAATCGTAGTAGAGGACTTCTCGGCCGACCTCACGTCTGCTGAGCAGACTCACACCTATTGCGTCTTTCTGAGGTTCAGGACACTTGATGGTGTAATTGTCACCTTTATATTTAATCCCATCTAAAAATTATTAAAGAAAAAGCTTGGATCAGACCACAGCATCCAAACAAACAGAAGTTAAGGTGTTTAGTTTGATATAAAGGGTTGTGAGGGAGAACACAGAAGAATCAGGTGTTTCTGGCACTAGTTCAGACACCAAAACCAACATCTGGACAGTGTTGATGAATGTTCCTGTATTAAGTCACATATTTTCTTAGCATCATGAGTAATTTCCCTTATTTTTGTATATCAGGTAAGTGCTATGTTGTCACTACATCTGACATTGATAGTTGTTTTTATGCCTTAAAGGGATAGTTCACCCAAAAATGAAAATTCTGTCATCATTTATTTATATACCCTCACACTATTCCAAACCTGTATGACTCTCTTCTGTGCAACATGAAATATGATATTTTGAAGAATGTTGGTGACCATTCACTTCTGTTGCACAATTTGGAGAATAAAAATAAGTAAATAAACACTGAAACATTTCTCAAAATATCTTCTTTTATGTTCCACAGAAGGTTTGGAATGACATGAGGGTGAGTAAAGTTTTTAAACCACCATGAGGCATTTTAGACGCACTCACAAATACAAATATACAAAACTAAAATAAATGTATCACTGTCAAAAGATTATTTTCACTTCACATATAACCCTAGCTGTGATGTAATCGAAAGTAGGTCAAATCTAAACTAATGTAAATACTGCTGCAACACTTTGTAACACACAAATTACCTAAATGTTTAACAGTAAAAACACAAAGCACTAACCTGCACTTGCAACAAAGTTGCTGAGACAAAGAACAACCAACAGCAAGAAGATGATTTGCAGAAACCTCATTGTTATTGCCATCATTCTCTTAGTCAGTGTCCTCCATCTAACACAGGAAATAGAACTACTTCTGTCTGCACTGCACAAGTGTGTATATATATGCGCTCCAGCCCACACCTGACATCACTGAACTTAGTCAGCACACCTCAAATGACTGAAGCCACACCAAACCTTTCAAAACTACATTTCCAATAGTTGCTCTTTTAAATGTGAAAATCGAAAAGTGTTCCATTCATTTCATTTATCAATCGAAGTGAAGGCACCAGAGATGCAAACATTCTAGTCTCGCGTATCCAGACCTTCAGACTGACTGCAGAAGCAAAGACTGTAAAGGGAGTTGCAGACTCTCGCAAGACAAATGAGCAACCACAGCTTCAAAAACAAGCCCAATATTATTTGATTATTCATTATCATCAATATTATTTATTAATAATTATTTATTACCAATAAATGAGCCTGCAACTTATTAAACTGAAACCGCTCTTTTATTTGAAATGTAAAAACAGCAGTTATTTTACAAAATCAGCAAACTGCAACAAAGCGGGAGGCACTCACTATCCACTCATCTCCGATCACCTGTGAGCAGAACAGGGTTGGAGAGAAGGAAAAGGAGATGAAGACAAGAGCTTTAAGGGGGAGATGTAACATAGCCACATATTTATACAGTATGTGGGCTTATAAAAATATGGCCTAATAAAATATATTCGAACCAAATGTATATACTGTTAGAATCAGTATAGGCCTACTTGTTTTTTATTATAGCCCGTGATAATTAATACATTACAAATACATTGTAAAAATTAAAAATGTACCTTATAAATGAAAGTCATCCCACTCCTCTATTACGTCTACTACATCGCTTGGATTACAGCGTCACAAGCCTTCATGTTGAACCTGATTTTTCTTCAATGAGGGGGTGGAATGTTTGACGAATTACGCTACAGCACTTATATTATTGCACTGATTGGCTACTGTGAGCAGACAGTGTCAATCAATGCAATGGAGAATATGGCTAACATGAATGTAAAGAAACGAAGTTGCTTGTCAGATTTTCCTAACAAGTGACCATTTTTTTTAAATAAGCCCAAAAAAAATAAAAACGCAACCTGGGATTTTTTTCACGGATTTGAACAAAAACAGAAGCCTAAAGTTGCATATTATAAGCAGACTTGGCAACTCTGGCAGAAGGTCTGGGAACCTTGGCGGCTTTGAATGGCCAAGGACTGCCCAAGAGGCCATATGGCTGACAGGTAAATAAACCAATCATGTTTTGTTTTGTGCCGCGTCAAGTTTAGGGGCATGGAAATGTCCCCATAATAACAGACCAGAAACTCTTGTATGTATTTTAAAGAGTCTATGTCGCGAACTTTACATATTTCACATACTTTTGAAAATCCAGCGTTTAGTTCCTGGAGGGCCAGAGCTCTGCAAAGTTTAGATTTTAGATTCAGAGTTCAGATTCAACCCTAATTCCAATTAAATTCAACACCTGATCCAATAACTCCATAAGAGATGAACGCATTTGTACAAAAAACAAAACAAAACTCATTGTCATTGTTAACATTTACTGTGGCATACACTGAACAAAATTATAAACTCAACACTTTTGTTTTTGCCCCCATTTTTCATGAGCTGAACTCAAAGATCTAAGACTTTTTCTATGTACACAAAAGGCCTCAATGGAGACGAGTCTGCTTACAGACAGGAAGTTAAAGAGCTGGCTATCTGGTGCAGTCTTAACAACCTGGAGCTTAACAAGCTCAAAACAGTGGAGATGATAGTGGACTTCAGGAGGAACCCCCCTGCCCCCCCCCCCCACTCACCATCATGGATAGCACTGTAACGACAGTGGAGTCATTCAGGTTCCTGGGCACCACCATCTCTCAGGATTTCCTTCGCCAGCTGAGGAAGTTCAACCTGCCACAGGAGCTGCTGAAACAGTTCTAATCGGCCATCATTGAGTCTGTCCTGTGTTCGTTCATAACTGTCTGGTTTGGCTCAGCTACGAAATCAGACATCAAGAGGCTACAACGGACAGTCAGGACTGCTGAGAGGATTATTGGTTCCCCCCTGCCCAACCTCCAAGATCTTTAGTTTACACTTCCAGAGTGAAGAAAAGCGCTAAGAAAATCACTCTCGACCCAGCCCACTCTCACCAGAACAGCCAGGCATTAGAACAGTTTTTTCCCGCAGGCCATATTCAGCCTGAACAATTAAAAAGTTCACAACTACACACTGTCCATCATAACTGACACTTTTATACATAGTATCTGGAAACTGACTGTGAAATCTTTTTTGTCTCAGGTTCATCACCAGTGTAAGCTTCATGGTCAATACGTCTACATCACACTTGTCAACGCAGTCCATAGTTACAACAAGAATGTATCTTGACTTTATCTAGTGGTTATTTAGAATGGTTTTCCCCCACTCTACCCTATATAAAATAGTGTTTTGCAAAACAGGACAACTGTCATGTTGAGAGACATTAAACAGAAAAGCAAAGCAAGTAGCAAATAAGAGGACTGTTCTTACTGTCATAATTATTGCTTAAAGCCATTGACATCAGCAGGGACCACTGAGTCATCCTGAGAAATAGACACAAATTAACAAGAATTTTTGTCATCTACATGTTAAATGACGAACTGATCTACTTCCACAGAGAATGAAAAATGAACTAACAAATAAAGTGGGTGTGGTAGGTACCTTGAAATAGTTGTCTTGAGAAATAACAGTTGTTTTGCAGAAGCTCCTGGAGGCTTTTACTCGTCTTTCCTCCATTTGTCATCCTGCCAAGTCAATTCATGTATAATTCACATATGCGGGGACTGAACATGGGACAATATTTGAACTTTATATGCGCTTAGTTTACTCACCCATCAATTCCTAAGATTAATTTTCGCAGTTTAAGTAAAATTTTTCAACGTATGTTTTCAACATTTCAACTTTTGTTAAGCAGCGAGATGCATGCATTTAAGACAGAGTATATATTTGCAAACGGTTGGTTAGTTAGTGGAGTTAGTGAGTGGACTTCAGCTCAACTAACTCTCAGTGCCGTTGGACTTTATATCAGCAATTTTGGAACACCAATCAAGTTGGAACTAATTGTATAATATCAACACAAATGAAGACAAAGGATAAACAAAAGAGATTAAACACACAAGATACTGCTTCTTTTTCAGTTTTAAAAATAATTATATTTCTTTATAATATTTGTACAAGGCAACAGTGCAAATTTGTTTCTCTACTTACAGTATATGTATGTACATGGAAAAACATGAAATCATGAGGTCAAGTAAATATGATGAAACTTTTAGTTTCTGTACTGGGAAAAAATCTGATCCTTCAGGCAGTGCACCTGAAAAATAAGATTTAAAAAAATTACGCTCACTAACAATACCAAATCAAAAAACAATCAAATTTTATTTTTATTCAGGTCTCTTACCAAAGTTTCTGGCACAGCTTCTATATTGTTGGCGTCAGTGGTTGGGATGACAAAAGAACTCAAGCGAACATCAGTAGCACTGTACTATAGAGACCAATCAAACAAAAAAATAAGTAAAGCAAACGGCCATAAGTGTCAATTTACAGTACATTACAAAACAAGTAGTAATAGTAGCTTAGTACATTCTTATGAATGTAAACTGTGAGGGATATGGTGACTTACAGGCAGTTCTCTGGGTGCCGATGAGAAAGGCGGGTCACTGGCACACATGCAGGTGAAGGGTTTCTCTTTGGTAGTGGGGTGATTTGTGCAGCAGAGGCGGAGAGTGGCAGCAGGGAGGTGGATGTGCCACATACTGCCGTGCTTCTTTACCAGCTCATCCAGCATCCTGAAATATACATGAAGTAATGCTGGACATGTAGAAACAATATGTTTTCGCAATACAGCTTTTCCTATTTACATGATAAAAAAGAAGAACAAAAATTGATCATGAAATAGTTAGTTAAGAAGTAAACATTAGCATTAAATCAAGTAACATTCACATATGGAATAAAGTTCTCAAGTTCAAAGTAATTCAAAATTGATACTGACAGCTGAGACAAATTGAGCAATAAATATCTGAAGATGTCGTACTCATTAAGAAGTGATTCTGTGACTAAGTCCATGTACCCAGTTTGCCGGTGATGTATCACTAAGGCAGTTGCATTCAACCTCAGGCATTTCTTCAACTCACGATTTACCTAGCAGAGGGCAAGAAGAAAAATGACAATCACTAAACCATGATATGAAACTCTACCGTTTTTCCAAAACAACTGACTGATAAAGGAATTCCTAGATACATACACTACTGTTCAAAAGTTTATGGTTGGCACAAGTTTTTTTTAAAGGTAATGAATTAGTCTCTTTTGCTTACCAAGGCTACATTTATTTGATCAAAATTACTGTAAAAGCAGTAATATTGTGAAATATTATTACAACTTCAAATAACTGTTTTCTATTTGAGTATTTTAAAATGTAATTTATTCCTGTGACAACCAAACTGAATTTTCAGCAGTCATTACTACAGTCTTCAGTGTCCCATGATCCTTCAGAAATTAATCTAATACGCTGATTTCATGCTCACTAGACATTTCTTATTATTATCAGTGTTGAAAACAGTTGCCTAATATTTTTGTGGAAACCATGATACATTTTTAAAGAATTTTTTGATCATTAGAAAGCTCAAAAGAACAGCATTTATTTAAAATATAAATATTTAACGTCACTTTTAATTATTTTAACACCTCCTTGCTATATAGAAGTATTAACTTCTTTAAAAAAATCTTACTGACCCTAAACTTCTGAAAGGTGTATGTGTCTCTTACTTCCATGAGGATCCGCCTGGGAAGCCGGGAGAGAATTCCGAGAGGGTATCCCTGCTGACTGATGACTTCAGCGAGACACTGGGCCACATCCTGACTGAGTTTCTGAGTCAAAGGAAAAGCTTCCACCCATTTGGAATGGTAGTCAGTCAGGGTCATGATGTGTGCGTGCTGGTCTACTGTCGGAGAGAACGGGCCTCTAACATCCAGCCCAAGCCATTCCCACCTCTCTTTAACCTGAGAGAAAGGCAGTGCTACAGATTTAAAAAAATTCTAATTCTGTTCTGTTATCTTTAAAGGCCTAACTATAACGATAACTATACTGGCATCCACAGCAAGAGATGATGGATTTTGATGTCAGTGTTTTAGTTATTCTGAAAGTGATTCTAACAATATCACCGTGTTGTTACCGTTATATTTGTGGTGTGGATTTCACTATTCTCATAGAATTAGAATGTTTATTAAGTTGTCAGTCTTGCTCTATGTAGCACTATGCAGAGGATAGCATCTGATAGGTTACCCTGTCACCATTTTGTAACAATCTAATTCCCCAGAGACTTACTTGAAGTAAATATTTCTGATGAAACCTAGCAGATACCTAGTGACAACAGTTGCATCACAGTTCTGATATAAATCAAAAGAGAGCTTACCTCAATTATATGGGGCTTCATTTTTCCTAAAACTCCATAAGCCACATGGGGAATCTGATTAAGAGAATTATGTATTGATGAACAACACTTTCACAGTACTCTATTAGGAAATGTATATTTAGAACTCTCTTTAATTCAACAGTACAGCATACTTACAATATTTAATTCATCATCTCCAGCCCAGTGGATGTTCTGAAGGAAAAACAACAGTTACTGTTGTGAACCACATTTTGGTATTTAGGAATGAAAAAAAAATTATATGAAAAAATGAAAATGTTAATTACATTGGGCAAACAGTATCCACTGTGAAAGAAACTGGGTATAGTCATGCTTCTATCGAGAGCTTCATCACCCAGTATGGTCCATGATGAACTGAAAAAACACATGAAAAATATACATAAAGTAAGAATAACAATTAAAACAGAATAACAAGAACACAGATTGCATGCACCTGATGGAGGTTCTCCCTCAGGAACAGTTGCAGACCTTTTTTCCGGTTCTGTCAGCTGCTGTGTGGAAACGCTCTTTGGGTCTGCTCTCGTCTGGCTGGAACTATTTTTGGTAGTGTTCGGCTGTAAACTCTCTGTAGTTCTGTGCTCAGGCTTTTCTGATTTAGACTTCTGCGAGATTTCTGCTGTCATATCAGGTGCTGCTTGACTTGATGAATTTGAGTCTGCAACAATTCCCTTCCATTCCAAATGATCGGGAAAAGGGAACATTTATATAATGAAAAGGAACAGTAGTAGTTAATTGTCTCAGGTTGGCATGATTTGGCAAGCCCTCAACAGAACACATACAACAAGCCCTACAAATTAATTAAAAAAAACACATATTATTGAGACGTTTCATAATGAACAGTATTTGATAAGTTTTAGATTGCAATTAATAGACCACATTTAAAAAAAAAAACATTTGCAATTGGGTTGCAAAAGATGTCTTTACGCATGTTCGGACTGTTTTGTTGCATTTACACGATTTTGACCAGCAGGTGTCGCCAGATGTTTAGAGAGGTTCGAAACTTTTTGCAAAACAATTTTTTGATGATGCAGTATCAGTGTAGCCTTAAACTCGGTCATATATTTAGTCTTTCATGGTTTCTTATTTCTGATATATATTTTCACATTCAAACATTCATTTTATAAATTATTTCTGAAATTGTAATTTCTCTGTAAATGCATTTTTAGAATGATCTGTGTTAATTAATCCAAAGAAAATATTTAACCATATAAATATAAAAAAGGTTATATAACTCACCAAAGCTCTTCTGCTTCTAGGATTGATTTTAACCTGTAGGTGAGAGTAGAGAATAAAGTAAAAAATAAAAAAAAGTGATGTAGAAAGATTACATTTAAATGGGTAGTTGAAATGAAATTTCAGGCAGTTACAGCAGTGTATTGTGGTGGTGTGGTACAGGGGCGTCTGCAGGATTTCTTCCGAGGGTACGAACAGAGGGGGGCGGTGTACCAAATGATCAGTGAGAGCAGAACGAATGCGTCACACATTTTAAACTCAACAAAATGGTAAAATACATATACAAATACATATGCCGCAGAACAAAACAGCGTTGGATGAAGTGGATTAGAGCCCTGCACGGGCCTCAAATATAGGCCCTAACCAGTCTTTTTTCCCCTTTTCCCAAAAAATCTTATACTACTGTTTCAGCTATTAAAATAGTTCAGTTTTCTATGTAATGGAAAAGTGATTATATTTCGTTTAGAATTTAATTTAGAAAAACGTTTGGAGCATTTTTTGTTCGTTAAATGTAAGTTTTTTGTTTTTGTTTTTTTAAAGTAACGACCAAGCGGCCAGCGGCAGACAGTAAATTCATCATAGCCTGTTTGATCAATTTAGCCTTCTCAAATCATCACGACTTGCCTAAAATAAAATATATATAAAACAGTTCAAGCATATCAGAATGTTAGTTTAAATGTTTAACCTAGATAAATGTGCGTTGTTAGACGCATTTCCAATAGTTTGAGCGGAGAGTGGAAGCTGAAGGACATGGAGGCGCCAGCGTGATCACTTGCATTTTTTCTAACAGTGGAAACAACTTAAAATACGCAGTCATTTTTGCTCATAACTACTTTAAAACGAAATAATTCAAATCGAAAATAGAAAGTCTTTCATTATGTAATCCGTGCATTTCTCTCTCAAGGCGCATCCAATGAGGAGATGGCGAGTCATTTTTTTCATCACCATAATTGATGGATGTCTAAAATACAAAAATAAGGAAGAGCCTGAAACAGGCCCGATAATAATCAGCGTTTTATTTTATAATTCTGTACAATTAAAAAATAAAACACAAATTACAGTGGCATATATGTAAAACTTTGTCCTATAATTGTATAGCTGCAAATATTTTCTGATTTTTATGTTGCTCTGTTCTGAATACCTTAAAATTTAAATGATTTGCTGCAACGCAAGTTTGTATGATATGTTAATTATTTATATTTTTTATCCATGCAGCAAATGTTTTAAAAAACAGCTTTAAAATTACTTTATTGCATTCCAGACGCTTTTAAAGTACTTTTCACTATAAATTTTACGGGTAGCTTGAATGTAAACATTGTCATGAATTCGTTGTATTCCCATTTGTAAAATAGCCAACAAATTAATTGTTGAAGGCTAACCCGATCTCAGGAAAGTGCATATAGCACGATTTGCTGCTTCTATTTGGCGTAATATTTATATGCAGAAATTGACTCATGGCATGCAAAAGACTGATAAATTCATAATTAACGGCATGGCTGGTTCAGTCGACAGAAATATGGGACACACCTATAATAACTGCTGAATTGTTTGCGGGGCAAATCTCAGGTCAGTCTGAGCGCTCATGGTACGCACAGTGTGTACAGCCGTAGACCTGCAGGCGCCACTGGTGTGGTATACTATAATTAAAAATTATTCTAAACTTGCTTTACTTTAAACTAATATTTTATTTGCACTTTATGATTTACAATGGTGAAAAATCTAAGAGCTACCAGTGACTTAAAAAGACACTGTAAATCCTTTAAAACACGTTAATTTTAACATGAAATATTTATATTTACTAACAGTTCATAAACATGTATATTAAAAAGTACCCAAATACCGATCATCACGTCAGCTTTCACTCACCTTTCTTTCTAGATATCGTTTTGGGAATGAAAAGATGGTTGGCACAGCCCATGAATGAAGTCTTGTTCTCTTCCCATCTTCAATTAAACACTTCTTTTCAAAGTGGATGGAGCAGATTTTACTGTTTGGAGCAGGTTTCCAGTCTTTCCATCTTAAATTTTTTAGCCACTTCTTCAGCAAGTTGGGGTCTTTCAGCGGGAATCTGAAATAAAGCAAATACGAGAACATAACATAATACAATCGAGCACTTTTAACATCATGCAGATTGAAAGCTTTGCGCTTTTTTTAATTTTTTTATAATGCTTTATTGTCAACAAGTAGCATGTACAGTGCCATATCTCACTATATAACAAAAACATTTCACATGCCTCAACAAGAAGGAACACGGAAAAAGAAAAGGAAAGGGGAAAAAAAAAAGAGGGTACATAAACATCAGTTTACAGAGAAATACATATTATACATATATTTACATTTCCATAGGATATTACTATGCAAATTTCAATACAGAAAATATACTTTGCAGGTCAGCACCATTATTTATTATTATTATTATTTATTTTTTTTAATATTATGTGAAAATGTTAAAGGAGGAACATATATTAATCGTTTTAATTGCTTTACTATTTTTAGATTTTGACATCACATCTACAAACATTTTAATCTCTTTTCCAAGCACCATAAAAATGTGAACTTTACATAAAAATAAAATAAAATGTATAATAAAACCAACAAATCGCTTTAAAGAGCGATCCTTGATATAGAAAGCTTTGCGCTTACTTGTGGAATGAGAGGCTCTTGTTCTTCGCAGTGTTTTTACAGTTATATGCACAACAACTCAACACCATCGTGTCTGGGGACACAACGTTCAAGTTATCTACCAATAAAGCCTTTTCTAATGGAGAGAGAGGTTGCTTTACTTATCTTTATTGCTGTGTTATATTATATTTCAGAGGACGCTCGCAAACGAGCAAACATACTGAACGCAAAACACCAAGACCAAAACATAGATCTAACAGCCAATCATTGACAGCTCCGGCTACATCTCTGGTGTCCAGATACTAGAAATGGAAACAGCTATCGCCACCTACTGGCCGCAATGAGACTTGAGCTCAGATTTACCGACATTGCTTGGCTGGAAGATATCGCAAGCATAAGATTTTCTCTTGGAAGCTGCTCATTTCATAAAAAAAATAAATTAATACAAAATTAATGAATTAATAATAATAATAATAATTATATTTTTGGAACATACATTATGGCGGTACATTTTAAAGGATAGCTATGTATTTATTTTTTGCACTAGCCTACCAAATTACTACAAAGCAAGAACTACAACAATATATTTTAAGATATTCTTTGGAATGAGAGGCTCTTGTTCTTCGCAGTGTTTTTACAGTTATATGCACAACAACTCAACACCATCGTGTCTGGGGACACAACGTTCAAGTTATCTACCAATAAAGCCTTTTCTAATGGAGAGAGAGGTTGCTTTACTTATCTTTATTGCTGTGTTATATTATATTTCAGAGGACGCTCGCAAACGAGCAAACATACTGAACGCAAAACACCCAAAACATAGATCTAACAGCCAATCATTGACAGCTCCGGCTACATCTCTGGTGTCCAGATACTAGAAATGGAAACAGCTATCGCCACCTACTGGCCGCAATGAGACTTGAGCTCAGATTTACCGACATTGCTTGGCTGGAAGATATCGCAAGCATAAGATTTTCTCTTGGAAGCTGCTCATTTCATAAAAAAAATAAATTAATACAAAATTAATGAATTAATAATAATAATAATAATTATATTTTTGGAACATACATTATGGCGGTACATTTTAAAGGATAGCTATGTATTTATTTTTTGCACTAGCCTACCAAATTACTACAAAGCAAGAACTACAACAATATATTTTAAGATATTCTTTTAATACAATATGCATACAGGTCATGTTAATACAAATAATAAACTATTTGTCCAGAGTACACTGTAAAGTGATTATAATCAGTCATTTAGCACACTTTATTATTGGTTTAATCTGGAAATACCTCAAATAAATGTGTTGTGTAGGCTACTTCTTGATCTAACAGAAATTGTGTAGTTATTCTGTCAATTAAGGTCTTAAAGATTCGGGGAAATATATATATCATTAAACAACACTGATAATGTCGATAGTTTACTGTGTAGGCTAATCTTTGTAGCTGAACATTTAAATTGAAAATCTGTACACAAAGAAGAAATGTCTAACAAAATTCATAAAATTCAAGACAAAGTAGGCTACTACCTCCACTAGTTGATCTCCTTCCCATAAATCCAACAAAGATCTCCCCCTTGTTTCCTGAAAGTAAATGTGAGATGTGAGAGCTGCTTAATCTGAATTAATTCATGTACCAGTCCATCAATGAAAACAAGCAGCCACAAACACGATGATAAAAACCTATAGGCTAGGTTTAAGTACACTGTAAAAAAAATTCCGTAAAATTTACGGTAAAAAACCGGCAGCTGTGGTTGCCGGAATTTTACCGTAAAAAATACGGTAGCAATGTTTTAGGTTTTACGGTTTTAACTTAAATTTACAGTTAAATACCGTAATTTCATTAACTGATATAATGTTAATATACCAACCTATTGAAGTACTGAAATCTGTTTTGCACCTTTGTAATACACTGATAACCACCAAATGCAGGTGGTGATGAGAAAGTCACATGATGAACCAAAGTTACAGTCTTTTACCGTTAAATTTACGGTCATTTTTTACAGTGTATAAGTCGCTGGCTGAGTGATTCCTAAAGAGAGAGAATACATTTCCTAATCAACTTATACAACCCAAATAAAACAAATTTCTCATTTTTAACTCATGGTGTACATGAAACACCAACGTTGCATTTTATTGGAGCAAGATACGACGTTTTAAATAGCTATAAGTTTTTGGATTTATTTTAATTACAGTGTACAGCCAATGTCTCAAGTGTCGAGTGAGAGAAATGAAGACACTGTACCTGCTGACTGTAGGCTACTCCTGACCATTAATCCATGAAACTGCTGCGATTTGGATCGCTTCACCGGATCAGTTATGTGCACTCATATATCTGTTGCCTTATTGGCTCTTCTCCTGACAAAGACAAATGAACGGCGTTTCAGTTGATGCAGACTATTTACTTTTGAAACGACGGATTTTGAAACTGCAGATTATTTAGCAAATTATTGATATAATAATGATAAATCATTTCAACCTGCAGGTTTTCCACGGTCCAGATATCCCTGTCTTCACTGGAACTGGATCCAACAACTACCTGTGCTAAGGACCAAAGCTAAAACGGAAATTAAAAAAAATGTCCATTATTTCAAGATATTGTGTGCTTTGTGTTTTGTATTTCAATTCCCAGAAAATACAAAACTCTGCTGTTTGCCGCAGATCCTTATAATTCTATAGAAATCAGACATCAGCCACGCACCTCTCCCATTCACTCATATTTTATTTAGGCTACCTCATGAATCTCCAAGTAGGCTATATATTCATCTTTTTGACTTTTCTCCCACTTTTTTTAATAGATAAATTTAAATAGATAACGATATTTAATAAGTTCAGTAAATAAGAGGTTACATATTTTCTGTCAGTAGGCCTTGAGGCGCATGTTGCGGTTTGTCTCATTTGGATAAATATCACATTTGGAACTGGTCAGTGTTCAAAAAATGCTGGGAAATCACTTCATGTAGCCCCAAGAGTGATTACTGATAAACTGTCTGAAAAAAAGGCGGTTTTTAGAGAAGAAATAAATCACCCACTGACTTTCAAAGCTGCTAACGACTTTCTACTTCGAGGATCTTGATAGAAATGTAGTGGAGTGAAAAGTACAATATTTGTCTTTCAAATGTAGTGAAGTTAAAGTCATAAGTTCCCAGAAAAAATAATACTCAAGTACAGATACTCAAAAAGTGTACTTAAGTACAATACTCAAGTAAATGTACTTAGTTACAGTCCGCCTCTGCCCACCTGTGACCGCGACTTCTGTTTAGAGCATATTTGTAAAAACGACTTTAACCTTTAACTGTCACCGTCCCGCTGGCGGGACGCATACGTTTACTTCACTATATTATTATTAAATCCTAATCTAATCATGACAAACTATATATCGTTGGAAAGGTCTAAGACGCCTAAATAGATATTTCACCAGTTTTTGTTACAAATTATGCAGGAACAGTAATAGATTAATTTATGACAAGTGTGTGCCTCTACTGTACATCATAACAATCATAACAGGAGTTCTGACCTTTGTCACAAAAAGTCTTTTTTTTCATTGCCTTTTTCCCTATCACATGTTTTAGTAATCATCATAAATATAATTTCAAATATCATTTGAAAGCTTAAAATCTCAAAATTCATCCTGTGAAAGCCATTTGAAATGGACATTGGGTTACCATAGAAATGGCACTTCAAAATCTTTTATGGCATTTTTCCACTGGCTCGGCTCAGTTTGCGTTTCCACTGCAGTTTAGTACTGCTTTAGAGTGGGCTGGATTATAGACATGTCCTTATAGTTCCTCCTTCCCCTTAGTGGGGGGTGTCATATTACAAAATGTATTGTCTTTTAGAATCAAAACTTTTTATAATCTTGACAAAATATATATGGTTGGAAAGGTCTGAGTATCAAGATTAAGTAATTAAGTAATATTGAGAGAGAAGTTTATACATTTGTGACAGAAAAAGGCATAAAAAAATCAATGGAGTTTGGATGGCACCTGGTGGCTGTTTTTGGTATAACGCCTAAACAAAATGCATAGGAACCTACATTTTTTTTTAAATATCAATTTCAAATTTGGAACATAACTTATTTAGACATATGGCTTTAATTTTATAGCAATTTTGGATTAAAAACTATTTTGTAAAATATTTATTTTACATAAAATATATAAAAAAAAGTACAATTTTAAATACAATAGTATTATAGTACAACAGTAAATTTACTTTACAGTAAATTTAAACTTCTATAACTTTTTCATACTTTTATTATTATTTTTTTTAATGATTTTACTTCTGCCATAATTTGCTGATTGTCTTCTTTAAAAAGAGACCACCCGTAGGTCTGTATTCAAAAGCGTTCATGAATTACATCAGTTTCAGTTTGGATAGTGCACTATCAAGTCTATGTTCAAAAATGGGGGGTGACAGGTTAAATAAGGTACTTTTAACCTTTTTGCTTTTCATCATTGATCTCGTAGTGTCCAATCTTGTTTCCTTTCTGATTGCTTTGGACATGATGCTTTGATGAATGTATTGCTTCCAGCACTGCAATATTTGCAGAGTCCACATATGAGTTGAGTAGCTTGTTTAGGTCCTCATCCCAATGTCTAGCCAGTGGACAGCTGAACTGCTGTTTCTGTTTTCATCTCATTTCCTCACCTTACTCTAAGCAAAAAGGTCACAATTGGGGCAATTTTCAGTCTTGAGCAATAACTCGAAATATGTTTGGTGATTCACAGGTGTGGTGTCAGTTTCGGTTTCATTCTTTCATGTCTAAATTTGACAACCTCAGGTAGTGTGATTGTACACATACAATTAGCATACATATTAACATTAAAGGGTTGTTTTGTGTGGAAAAGTGCCTCAAGAAACCTGAAGAGTTCTTGTCTGCATTACTATAAAGCAACACTACCTGTAATAATTTATTATAATATGCTACTCCTGTCTGCAAAAATTATAGAGTGTTTAGTTTGAACTATTTCTCATTAAATACACCAATGCTATTTTGAAGACATGCATTTCAGGAAGTGAATTAAGGAAGAAGTGTTCGAAATTGCTTCAGAAAGCATTACAGATTTTTTACAGAACAAATTTTTACTGAAACATTTTAACTTTAAAAATGGATTTGTTTTATTATTATTATTATTAACACTTAAAACAAGCGGAAAGCACCATTAACACTATGGGAAGTATTGTTATCTTTGGGTATCCAGAGGGCACACACACCGTTCACATTTGACACCTGCGGTATTAAAATATTTCCACCCCCTGCACTTTTTCACTTTTTT